CCCTCATTCCCACGTGATGTCACCACCCGGGACCAGGGTGACAGAGGGACCCAGGTGTCCTGTGCCACCCCCTGGCAGGACAGTGACGCCCTCCTGGAGCTGCTGGCCTCCATCCCAGGCCACCAGCAGATGTCCCTCACTCAGGGATGGTGTCACCACCCCAGACCAGGGTGACAAAGTGTCCTGTGCCACCTCCTGGCAGGACAGTGACACTTTCCTGGCACCGGTGTCCATCCCAGGCCACTCATTCAGACACGGAGTCACCACCCCAGACCAGGTGACAGAGGGACCCAGGTGTCCTCCTGGCAGAACAGTGACACTCACCTGGAGCCGGTGTCCATCCCAGGCCACCAGCAGATGTCCCTCACTCAGGGATGGTGTCACCACCCCAGACCAGGGTGACAGAGTATCCTGTGCCACCTCCTGGCAAGACGGTGACACTCTCCTGGAGCCGGTGTCCATCCCAGGCCACCCACTCAGGGATGGTGTCACCACCCCAGACCAGGTGACAGAGGGACCCAGGTGTCCTCCTGGCAGAATAGTGACCCTCTCCTGGAGCTGCTGGCCTCCATCCCAAAATCCCAAGCCGCCATTTTGGCCGGTTCCTCAATGTCCAAGGACAAAAGGAGCTCCTGACACTTCTCCAGTGTCCTGGGAGGGCGGTGGCTTCTCCCAGCGGGATGGAGCCACCTCATCCGGACACGGGCGGGACCGGGAGGTTGAGATTATCCAGAATTTTCCCTGGAAGCGCCACCCCATGGATGTGTGGCCCTTGCAGGCGTGCCCTGTACATCGTCACCTTCCTGCTGTTCCCCACCAACGTCCTGGTGGGCGTCCTGGCCGCAGTTTGGCGCGTGGTCATCTCGGGCCTCTACAACGCCGTGCACCTGTGCCGGCTGGACATCAGCCTGCTGCACCGCGGCGTCGACACCTTCGACCCAGGTGGGGCAGCCCCAGTGCCACCAGCGGGGTCCTGGCATGGGGGACTGGGGCTGCTGGGATGGAGGGTGGCCTCAAATGTCGGAGCTTCTCCTGATTCCTGCGTTTTTATTCCGAAAAAAACCCCGAGTGGTGACTTTTGAGTTTCACCTCATGTCCTGGGAGAAAGAAGAAAGGACCTCAAGGGACTTGAGGGACTTCAGGGGACCTCATGGGACCTCAGGGCACCTCAGGCTTTCCCCCGTTTTTCCAGCTGGGATTGAGGGTGGCTTGCAAATGGGATGATGAGAGCAGGTGGCTTCTCCTAATTCCTGTTTGGTGTGGCTTTTTTATCCCAAAAAATATGGAATGACCTTTGGGGTATCACCAGTGGTCACTTTGTGTCCCGAGGTAAAGGGGAGGGGACCTCAGGGGACCTCAGGGGACCTGGGGCCTTCCTCCGTTTTTCCTGGATGGAGGGTGACTTCAAACCCTTGGAAATGGAACACCTGGAGCAGGTGGTGCCGGCTGGGTCCTAATTTTTACCCCAGAAAAAGTGGGCTGAGCTTTGGGATTTCACCTCATGTCCCAGGACACAGGGGAAGGGACCTCAATGGACCTCAGGGACCTCAGGGGACCTCAGGCTTTTCCTGCTGGGACTGTGGGAGCACGGGAAGCAGAGCAGGATCCTTCCCGGGGCAGCGGGAATGGGGAATGCTGTCCCCGCTGAGCGCGGTGTCCCCGCAGGGTACCACACCTACTGCCACTACCTGAAGGTGGAGGTGAGCCAGTGCCACCCGCTGCTGAAAGCCTTCTGCTTCCTGCTGCTCCAGCCCGGCCGGCACGAGGCACCGGCACCGCCCCGAGACACACACCTGGAGGAAGGTGGGACATGGGGACACAGGGGGATGGGGGGAGGGAGACCTTGGAGAACTCTTGATGGCACCGCTGATGGGTGTGGAGACACCTCCATCCATCCCTGCATCCTTCCATGGATCCATCATCCATCATCCATCATCCATCCATCATCCATCATCCATCATCCCTGCATCCTTCCATGGATCCATCATCCATCATCCATCCATCATCCATCCATCATCCATCCATCCATCATCCATCATTCATCATCCATCCATCATCCATCATCCATCATCCCTGCATCCTTCCATGGATCCATCATCCATCATCCATCCATCATCCATCCATCATCCATCCATCCATCATCCATCATTCATCATCCATCATCCATCCATCATCCATCCATCCCAGGGTTGGGATGGGGTTCTTTGGGGTGTTGTGGGATCTCAATGGCTCCAGGGAAATGGGGCTGGAGCTGGAATCCGGGATTCCTGGAATGCTTTGGGTTGGGAGGGACCTTAAAGCCCAGCAAGGGACCTCTCCTACTGTCCCAGGCAGCTCCAACCTTTCCCTGGACACTTCCAGGTATCCAGGGGCAGCCACATCTCCTCTGGGAATTCCATCTCAGCCAGGAATTCCTTCCCAGCCTCTTCCCGTGTCCCCTTTCCCAGAAGGACCCCATCCCTCTGCACCTCATCCCAATCCCTGTCCCACTTTTCCAGGCCCTGAATATTTTTCCTGCTGCTCCCATCTCCTTCCAGGCCTCCAGCTGATGCATCCCAAGCATCCTGCTCCGGGAAAAGCTCGGATCCGGCGGATCCGGGCTCGCTGGTGGGTGGCCTACACGCTCCTGCACAACCCTTCGCTGACGGCTTCCCGAAAAACCGCGCTGGCCGATCCCGCCGCCAACGGAGCCCAGCTCGGCATTCCCAGGCCCTGAATTCCCGGGAATTTCATCTCATCCCATCCCCCATCCCATCCCTGTCTATCCCAGCGGGAATTTCGGGCTCTTCCCTCTCCCTGTCGCAGCCTTCAGATTGTCCCCAAGGGTTTATCCCGAAATCTGCGCTGAGCCACTCCCAAAGTGACGCCTCCGAGCCCGGCCTGGAGCCGAGCCGAGGAAAACACTCCCGGCATCCCGAAAATATTTTGGGATTCACTCCTGCAATGAGCCTGGTTCTCAGCAGCTTTTGCAACACTGCACAATTCCCAAAGATCTGGGAGAGGAGCATGGGAGGATCCTCAGCCAGCCGAAGGAATTCTCAACCACCAGGAATTATCCCTGGAGCTCCACGTGCGACAGAATTCCCATTCCCAGCTTGTCCCTTCCCCATCCCGGCTCCATCTGGGCTCTGCATCCACTCCTGGGATGGTTTTTTCCCCCAATTTTTGAAGGATCAAATCCCTCCCTGCTCCCTGTCCTCTACCATTCCCGGTTTTGTGGTGATCCCACGGTTTTCCAGGGCTGGGATCCATGGAAAGCCTCCCTAGGAAATGTGGGGGAGGGGAATAAACAGATACCTCATCCCTACTCCCGAATGTGCCTTTTTCCTTGGATATTCCCGGTTCCAGCAGGATTTGGGACCATCCCGGCCCTGAATCCAGGGAATGGTTGGGATGACCTCCCCCACAGAGATTTTGGGGATCTGCTCCACCCCACTGGGAATGTCAGGATCTAATCCATGATCCCATTTTAGGGCGGTTTTATGGGAAAACCTCTCCCTTCGCATTCCCACAGTTTGGGAAAGGCTCGAAACCGTGGCTTTGGGAAGAGGGTGAACAAGAATGGGGAATTTTGGGGATAAAAATCAATGGGATGGGAACGAGGTGGTGCTGGATCACCTCTTCCTGCTCTTAAATCCCACAATTCCCGACCTTTTGGGCTGGAACGAGCAGGGTCCTGGTGGCTCCTTCCATCCCAAACACTCCAAGATTCCTTCCCTTGGGAATTCTCCTCCCACCCTGCGTGGAGCTGTAGGATAATTTTGGGATTTCCTTGGAAGTGGCCAGACCTGCTCCCCATAGAATCCAAAGGGTGCCATTCGGTCCCCCTGGAATGTTCCCAGCACCCTCCGTGGTTCCCATGCTTTGGGATTTCCTTGGAGGGATTTCCTCCCAAAGGGATTTCCTCCTTTTTCCCAGGATTCTCTCCCAGTCCATCCCGACCCCTGAGACTCCAAAGGCAACCTAAAATCCCTTTAAAAAAAAACCCTTAAAAAAATCTCTAAAATCCCCTTTTAAATTCCTAAAATCCCTTTAAAAATCCCAAAAATCCGTGTCAGCTCCACGGGCGGGGCTGAATTTTGGGATCGGTTTCCACAGCCCCACCCAGGGCTCCCTGGAGATCCATGGAATTTGTGGGGTTTCTGGGATAGCAGCAGCGCCCTGGGCGGGATTTGGGATTTTCTTCCCCTTCCTGGTGGTTCCTTGGAAGCCCTAAATCCACACCCCCATTCCAGCTGACATTTTGGGAATAAATCCCTGCTCTTTCCTGGGATAAAACGGATCCTGGGTGAAATGAACCCAAAACTTTTATCGAGGCCACGTTTTTTATTCCATAAAATTTGTGGGAATCCAGGAGCTCCCCACAGAGAGCTCAGCTGCCACTTTTCCCTAAAATCGGGCTGGATTTGGAATTTCGGTGCTGGAGAGCTCCAGGCTCTGCTTTCCCAGCTGATTTTGGGGTCCAGTCCATTCCTGGGCTGCTGCAGGGGTGGGATTTTGGGGTATCCCAGGATTTTGTGGGGTTCCTTTCCAGGACTGAGGGGGGGTTGGGGAACAGGGAAATTTGGGGGATCTTGGGATGCTCTGGCACTGGGAAGGATTTGGGGGAGCTGCAGGGATGCTCCAGAAATGGGAAAGATTTGGGGATTCTCCAGCACTGGGATTTTTGGGAAAGATGGGAGGATTCTCTGGGACAGGGAAGGATTTGGGGGATTTGAGGGGATGCCATGGGACTGGGAAAGATTTGGGAATTTCTGGCCCAGAGGGATTTGGGGGAGCTGCAGGGATCCTGCAAAGCTGGGAAGGATTTGGGAGAGCTCCAGCACTGGGAAGGGTTTGGGGGAACTCAGGGAAGGATTTGGGAAAACTGGGGGGATGACAGAAGTGTCCCCTGATCCAGGAGGGTTGGAGACAATCTGGGGGAGCCCAGGAGCCACTGGCTCGGGGAGATTTTGGGATTTTGGGATGCACAGACCAAGCGAAGCCCAGCTGGTTTAGGAAAAAAACAAAAAAGAGTTTATTCCAGGTGTTTATAAAAAGTGATTATTAATTCAAGGTGATTATTAATTCAAGGTATTTATTAAAATGGCTTCTTTATTAAAGGTGTTTGTTACAGGTATTTCTTAATCAAAGGCGTTAATTAAAGGCATTAATTAAAGGCGTTAATTAAAGGCATTTATTGCTGTCCCTACAGGGCGCTACAAGGCCAGGGGGCTGCAGGGAATTCCCACCGAGAATTCCGGTGGCACCGGAGCTGTGTCCCAGTCCGGGGGCGATGGAAGATCCCAAATCCTGCCCGAGGGATTTGGGAACATCCCAGTCTTTCCCCCATTCCCACTGGGAATGGTTTGGGAATCTTTGGCTCAAGTGGGGCAGCCCGCTGGGTCCGGCCCAGGCGGGATTTTGGGATTGGAATTCCTGCAGCATTCCAGGGGCTCCTACGGGGATCAAACCTGGGAATTCCCTCCTGCTCCAAGGCCGCGGCTCCATCCCAATCCTCTGTCACATCCGTGCCCCCCAGGACCCCATTCCCAGGCGGTTTTCCCCCTCCAGGGGAAGGGATTTTTTGTCCTCGGTGGCTCTGGGGTGGGATTGTCACTGCTGTCACCTCCCACGGCCGCGCTGGGATCTGGGCAGGGAGAAAAGCGGGATGTGGCACTTTGGGATCCCGGCTGGATCTGCCCCACATTCCCTGAGCCTCTCCAGGAACTCCAGGGGCTGGGCCACCCTCCGTGGGCCTGCGGTGGCCCCGTGGGGCTCGCGAGCGCTGCCGGGTGCCAGAAGCTCAGCAAAGGCGCTAAAAAAAAAAACTACGGAAAAACCGGGAATGCCGAGGCTCCGCTCCCCCTTCACCAGAGCAGCAGCAGCACCCCCAGAGCCAGGCCCAGAACTCCCGGGCGGAATTCCCGGCTTCCCCCGGCGCTCCTGACCTCCCTGGGCACGTGGTACACGATGAGCAGCTTCTCTCCCATTCCGGAAGGATCCAGCTCGTCGCCCTTGGCGCAGCTGTGGCCGCCGGGCTGCCCGGCCTGGGGGTCGTCGCGGGGCAGCTCCTCGGCCGGCATGTCGGAGCCGGCCAGCGCCACGCTCACCGACACGTCGCGCGTCCCCACGTCGTTGACGGCCACGCACGTGTAGGTGCCCTCGTCGTCCTTGCCGAAATCGGCGATGGCCATGGTGCCGTTCTTGAAGGCCAGGAAGCGCTGCCGGCCCGCCTTGGCTCCGCCGTCCCTGGCCACCGTGGGCCCGTGGATGTCGAGGCGGCCGCCGGCCGTGCGGATCTGCCAGCGGATCTCGGGCGGGGGGCTGCCGGCCACGCTGCAGTGCAGGCTCAGCGTGAGCCCGTCCTTAGGCCCGGCTTTGGCGGGGCTGGACAGATAGGTGAGCTGGGCCGAAGGCGCCACGCACAGCGAGCCCGGCATGTCGGTGACGGCGCGGCCTCGCAGCCGGGCCGGGGCGGCGCACAGCGTGGAGCCGGCCCTGGAGATGACCACCGAGGTGCTGTCGGCCCACTCCTTGAGCCAGAAGAGCTTGCAGGAGCAGTTGAAGGGGTTGTGGAAGAGCTGCAGCTGCGCCAGCGCCGGCAGCGCCTCGAAGGTGCCGCGGGCCAGCGTGGTGAGCTCGTTGTCGTTGAGCCAGAGCGAGCGCAGCTCCCGCAGGCCGGCCAGCGCCCCGGCGGGCAGCGAGCTCAGCCGGTTGTTGCTCAGCTTGAGGATCTGCAGCGCGCTCAGGTTGCGCAGGTCCTGCCACGGGAACTCGGCCAGCCGGTTGTGGCTCAGGTCCAGGTTCTTGAGGTGCGGCAGCGCGGCGAAGGCGCCGGGCTCCACGGCCGAGATGTGGTTGTAGCCCAACCACAGCGACTGCAGCTCGGGCACCTCGGCCAGCGAGGAGCGGCCCAGGCGGCCCAGGCGGTTGGCGGAGAGCGTGAGGATGGTGACGTTTGGGGACAGGCCCCGCGGCACGTCACGGAGCTCGCGGTAGGCGCACTCGGCCAGCAGGCGCCCGTTCTTCTTGGGGGAGCAGGAGCAGGGGCTGGGACAGGCCAGGCCTGGGGACAGCAGCGTCACCAGCGCCACGACGCCGAGCAGCGCCTCCATCCTCGTCCTGTGGATAGGTGGGGGAATTCAGCACGGCGGGACATTTTTGCCCGTCATTTTTCATTGAGAATCGAGCTCTATCGGCAAAGATTCCGATTCCTATTAACAAAAAAAAAAAAACAACAAACCCCAACAGAGACCGGGCCAGAAGAGCGGGAGGAGAAACAATTCCGGCTGGAAAAGGCAGGTTTGGGATTCTCCCCAAAGCTCCCCCTCCAGCTTCTCCTTGCCCCTGTTGAAATCCCTTTTCCGGGTTTGGGATGAAATGTTGTTTGGGATGAGAAGAGGGAGCCGGGGCGTTCCGGATTGCTCAGCTCTTTCCCAAGCGGCCTTGCCCTAAAACCTAATGGGATTTTTGGCCTGAGCCGCTGCTCCAGCTCTCCTTATGTCATGGAAAAAAAAAAAAAAACAACCAAAAAACCAAATCCTCAGCCAGGAAATCTGCAATTCCTGGGAGGGGGATTTTCCCCAACTAACTCCTGATTCCCCTCTCTGGGACTTTTCCAGGCGGGAAGAGGAGAATTCCCGCTCCAGCAGCAGCTGGCAGCCAGAGCCCTTTGTCTGAGCCTCGCAGGAGAATTTCCCCGCTCCCCTCGGCTCCTTCCCGGCTGGAACCGATTTTTTGGGAATGCCGAGGCGGAATTAACCCGGCCCCGACGCCTCGGTGACATTTTGGGGGCGCTCGGGGAAGGCCAAGACTCATCTCCCACGGATCGGGAAGGGGGATCCTGGAACTTTTTCCCTCCTGGAGCTCCTGTCCCATCCCACCCCTTTTCCAGAGTCCCCCCCCCCCGGGGGCGCATTCCAGAACCGTCAACACCCGCCCTGCCTCCTTCCTTCCTTCCCTCTTTTCCCGATTTTCTCCCTGGTTTTGGGGGGGGGTTTTCCCGTTTTTTTTTTTCCCGGTTTTTCCCGGTTTTTCCCCGCTCCCCACCCGGCCGTCCCTGCCCCGTCACCGCCGCTGTCGCCGCTGTCGCCGCTGCCGAGCTCGGCCCCGCCGCTCCCCGCGCCCTTCCCGGGCTTCTCCTCCTCCGCTCGTCCCCTCCCCGTCCCCCGGGCCCGAGCCTTTGGGCCGCGCCACCGCGGGGCCATCTCCGCCCCTGCCCCATAAAATATCCCAAAACCCGCTCATCCCACAGCCCTGCCCCATAAAATATCCCAAAACCCGCTCATCCCACAGCCCAGCCCCACAAAATATCCCCAAACCCCATCAGCCCATTGCCCAGCCCCACAAAATAGCCCAAAACCCGCTCATCCCACAGCCCTGCCCCATAAAATCCCCTAAAACCACATCACCCCAAAGCCCTGACCCCCTAAATCCCCTAAAACCCCATCACCCCCTAGCCCTGCCCCCCTAAATCCCCTAAAACCCCATCACCCCAAAGCCCTGCCCCATAAAATCCCCTAAAATCTCATCATCCCACAACCCTGCCCCACAAAATCCCCTGTAACCCTTTATCCCACACCTCGGCCCCCTAAATCCCATAAAACCCGGTCATAGAGATCCTCTAAAAATCCTCCAAACCCCAAAAACCTCGTCCCCAAAATCCCCTAAAACACCCTCACCCCACACTTCTGCACCCCAAATTCCCCTAAAACCCGCTCGTCCCACAGCCCCACCCCATAAAATCCCCTAAAACTCCATCACTCCATAGCTCTGCCCCCCTAAATCCCCTAAAACCCCATCAACCCAAAGCTCTGCCCCATAAAATCCCCAAAAATCTCATCATCCCACAGCCCTGCCCCACAAAATCCCCTAAAACCCCATATCCCAGCCCCATAAAATCCCCTGTAACCCTTTTATCCCACACCTCGGCCCCCCAAAATCCCATAAAACCCGGTCATAGAGATCCTCTAAAAATCCCCAAACCCCAAAAACCCCGTCCCCCCCAAATCCCATAAAACCCTTTCACCCTTTGCTGCTTCACCCCAAAATCCCCCAAATCCCATCACCCCACAGCCCTGCCCCATAAAATCCCCCAAAACCCCACAAACCTCGGCCCTTTCCCTCGTCAAACTGGGAATTTCTAACTGGTTAAACTGGGAAATTCCAACTGGTCAAACTGGGAATTCCTGAGTGGTCAAACTGGGAATTCCTGATTGGTCAAACTGGGAATTCTGGACTGGTCAAACTGGGAATTCCTGACTGGTTAAACTGGGAATTCTGGACTGGTCAAACTGGGATTTCCTGAGTGGTCAAACTGGGAATTCTGGACTGGTCAAACTGGGAATTCCAGCTGGTTAAACTGGGAATTCCTGACTCCCCAAACTGGGAATTCTGGGCTGGTCAAACTGGGAAATCCTGACTGGTCAAACTGGGCATTCCTGACTCCTCAAACTGGGAAATCCCAACTGGACAAACTGGGAATTCTGGACTGGTCAAATTGGGAAATCCTGACTCCTCAAACTGGGAATTCCTAACTGGTCAAACTGGGAATTTCCAACTGGTCAAACTGGGAAATCCTGGCACCTCAACCTGGGAATTCCCAACTGGACAAACTGGGAATTCTGGACTGGTTAAACTGGGAGTTCCTGACTCCTCAAACTGGGAATTCTCCACTGATCAAACTGGGAATGCTGGACTGGTTAAACCAGGAAATCCCATCTGGTCAAACTGGGAATTCCTGACTGGTCAAACTGGGAATTCCCAACTCCTCAAACTGGGAATTCCTGACTGGTCAAACTGGGAATTCTCAGCTCCTCAAACTGGGAATTCTCCACTGTTCAAACTGGGAGTTCCCAACTGGTCAAACTGAGAATTCCTGAGTGGTCAAACTGGGAATTCCTGAGTGGTCAAACTGGGAATTCTGAACTGGTCAAATTGGGAATTCTGGACTGGTCAAACTGGGAAATCCCAACTGGTTAAACTGGGAATTCCCAATTGGTCAAACTGGGAATTCTGGACTGGTCAAACTGGGAATTCCTAACTGGTCAAACTGGGAATTCCTGAATCCTCAAACTGGGAATTCCTGAGTGGTCAAACTGGGAATTCCTGAGTGGTCAAACTGGGAGTTCCCAACTGGTCAAACTGGGAATTCCGGACTGGTCAAACTGGGAATTCCCAACTGGACAAACTGGGAATTCTGGACTGGTTAAACCAGGAAATCC